ATTCTTCGACAGCCCACAACTGGTTTTGCCCTTTTCGGGGCTCATCAGGTAGGCGCAGTTCCCGAGTTCCGTCCACCTTATGTTCTACTTGAACCCAAATTGCACGAAACTAGCGAAATACGCCCATTTGCAAACGAATTCGGTTTTGTTGGAGACTCACCTAGAACCCAGCTGAATCTCTTGTTTATGATGTTTCAAGTAGGAAACAGGAGGGACAAATCTGTCAACTTCACCAGCTGCACTACTTTCACCTCAAAATATTAAATGAAAATCCTAATGCAAGGAAAACTATTTTATTCACGGACAAGCCCCAGATACAACACGGGTCCAGCCTCGTCGGTGGTCGCACAATGGCCAACCCCAGCCGATAATCACAGTCTTTACACGAGAAAGTGAAATATTTTAGGCGTCTTTACTGGTGTACAATAGTTCATTTGCGAGTGGAGCGGGGTGGGGACAGCATCGAAACACATGATGCTTACGGGACCATACGAACTTGTGCCTTCGGGGTCTGGTGCTTTCCTGTGGACTTCTGTTGGTTCAACGCAAGACATCATGTGGTTTAACATTGGCTGTCTCAACGTTCTTTGCCTTCCTGATGACCTGACAGCCTGTTACCACTGGATTTGTGAATCAATCTTATGACTGTGTGTCCGCTGTACTTCTGCTTGAATCAGTGCATTGTTTTTGTCATACAGAACTACGATCTTGACGCTCTTGTCCGGAGTTAGATTGTACCTTGTTCGCATCACAGCTGTAAGCCATCTGCGTCTTCTTTGTTGCTCCTGTGCTGGCAACTATGTCCAGTGCTCAGAAGGAAAATCTGCAGTCATCATCATCATCATCGACAGCATGACATCAGTGCTGAACACCGATGGCTCACTGCCGCACAACCATGATTTATTTGAAAGCCTTATTGTAAAGAAAAGAGTAAAGGTGGACGGGGAAGGGACTTAGTGCTAGCTTACCACAATCATTCCGAGGTGCCTACACCTCCAGACATTCACTCAGGCAAT